ACACACACAGACACACACAGACAGACAGACAGACAGACAGACACACACACACACACACACACACACACACACACACACATTTTCCAGTGAAATACTGTCTACTGAAAGTCTGAGTGATGTAGTGATTTAGACTAATTGCTTTTATTTTTCTATTTTACTATTTAGTTATCAAAGGAGAAAAAGAGAGGGAAAGACTAAAGGTACTCCAATTTTATTACACCTGCAAAAGACTCGGACAGAAATATGTGTGCTTGTATTGACCATGAAAACATTAAGCTACTTGTTGACAAACTGTACCACAAAGGCAGTCTCCTTACCAACAGAATTTCAGAATTGCTAGCAACTACTGCATGTGACATTACCAACAAGAAATGCATGTATCGCACTTGTGCGAAGTGCTGCTACAATGAGATTGAGTTTGAAGGACCTCTGGAGGATACTGTTCTAACATGGCAGCAGTGGTCCAGGGTAGTCACATCTGAAGAAGGCAAAACCTTTGTTAACTTTGCAAAAGTCACACAAAGTGGAAAGTGTGATGATCTGCTGGCTTTGCTTAACAAGAAGCTAGACTGTCTAGCTAAGCACCAATTCAACTGGCTCCACCAGGTCAAAACATTCAGAGAGCTGAAAGAAACACTACGAGAGGATGAAATCTGCATTCATGTAGACTTCTCTGAGAGCTATGGCTGTAAACTCAGCAGTGAAATTCAGGCGTTCCACTTCGGGGGCAGTCGCAAGCAGGTTACAATCCACACAAGAGTGGTGTATGTGTGGCCTTGTCATCCTTTTCCTATGCCACTCTCTCTGCTTCTCCCCGCCATGATGAACGTGCTGTATGGGCTCACATGGAGCCTGTATTAAAGGATGCAATAGGCAAATCTTACACACCCACCACTTTACATATCATAAGTGATGGACCAGTGACCCAATACAGGAACAAGAAAAACGTTTTTCTTCTCAGCACGGTTCCTTTTCTGAGTTGGTTTCAAGGGTTACTTGGAATTTCAGTGAGAAGGCGCATGGGAAAGGAGCTCCTGATGGAGTGGGAGGGGCTGTCAAGCGTACTGCAGACACAGCAGTCCAAAGAGGCACCAACTTGCAGACAGCTGAGGAACTTTACAACTTCCTAAAGGATCAGCCCTCAAGCATCAAGTACTTTTGGATATCCGAGGAAGCCATTGTCAAGTACGATGAATCAGTCCCAACAAATGTCCCAGCCATAAAAGGTACACTGAAAATCCATCAAGTGACCTCTGAAGAGCCAGCTGTGATTCAGTGGAGGGAAATCTCATGCTTCTGTGCAAGACCTGATATCTGCAAGTGCTATGATCCAAGCCTAGCAGATTTCCGTAAACTATCAGAAGATCTCCCTTCAACATCTACCAACTGTCAGCAGGATCTGAAAGGCAAGTTCATTCTGGTCAGATATGAAAGTAAGCCTTTCGTGGGACAGGTCATCCAGGTGGTGGGTGAACAAGTGGAAGTGAGCTGCATGCAACAGCTGGGTGAGAAGAATGTCTTCACCTGGCCCCATTGACCTGACATCCTATTCTATTATGAGTCTGATGTGCTGCACCAAATCTCTGAGCCAGAACCTATGAACTCACGTCATTCAAAAGTCATGACAGACGACTGGAAATAATTCCAAGCACAGACAGCCTGAACATGCAGGTGTTCTGTCACACTGACACAGACTGGACAGGAATAGGACATAACAAAACATTTCAAACCACACACACACAGCCATAATCACCCGATTCTACAACTTTTGACATGTTTTAACACAAATTCATTGCAGTCAGATGTTCTTCTTTTCACAATAGAAAAGTTCATATGATTTTTGGATGTTTGTTTCTTAAATTAATTCATAAAAGAACAGAAGTTCACATGATTTTTGTTGCCATGTTTGTTTCCTAAACTGATTCTTAAATTAACAATAGAAAACACCCAATTCTTGTTGTTGATGTTTTTTCCTCATTGAAAATAATAAAAAGCACAAGTTCAATTGACCTTGTTGACTGTCATGCTTGATTTGTAGTGCCAGTTTCTTCTGTAAAAGCAACATGGTCAGGTGGTGTAACTGGTTTGTGTCAATTGGTGTAACCAGTATTTTTCATAAAAATATTATAATTTACAGGAAAATCCATGGGGAATAAGATGTAATCCTCTATTGCAATGTACTACCATATTTTTTAACAGTTTATACATAATTTGTCAAATGTTATTTAGACAACGCCAAGGGTTTTCAGCATTTTTCCTGGTCTATATTGCAAATACGCACGCAACACAAAAGCGTAACATAGACAATGATTACAGACAAATGGAAAAAAGAAAACCCACCGACATCATGCAACCCAGTATCACGTCAAACCGCAAGTTTAATAGTACACCATATAACATTCCCAAAATGTCCATTAATCTTTGTTGGAGCTTTCTGAAGTTGTTAAGTGATTAAATAGTAGTGCATCACACTAGTGGGAAATTAAATACGTTGTCAATTTACAAGACAATGGGAATCTGTTGGTTCAGCTTCTGTCCAACAGCTGCAGCTCTTCTTCACTCTGTAAAGAAACATATTGATTCTCTCAGATTGTTTCATCTACATACTTTACACATCAGTGTCTTTGCAGAAAAATGTACGATTCTGTTTAATACCTCTGACATTCAGCGTCATTGAGGACTCCGCTGTCCCAAGTTTGTTCTCAATGACGACTTTGTATTCCCCGTTGTCTTTGGGTCCCACCCTTAGGATGAGCATAGAGCAGACTCCACATACATTGGTGATGTGGTAGTTGGTGTTTGTGTTCAGACTGATATTGTTGCGGTACCATGTCACACGCGGAGCCGGATCACCCTTAACTGCGCAGCTCATGTTGCACTCGTAACCCAGTGGAGCTGTACGCCTCTTTAGTGGAACGATAAATGAAGGAGGTGACTGGAAGTCCAAGGATTTTGTCTCTGGCATGTTTACTTTGAACTTTTCTGAAACACAAAGAAATGCACAAAGTTTAGGTTTTTACAGAATTAAAATAGTTTACTAGGTTTGTACTTGTGGCCTTGTAATTGCGATCCTGACATCACGTCAATGCTAGCTGCTGTTTAGAAAATTTAGGAAAAATAACCCAGATAATGATGATGCATTATGGGACATGCAGAATACAGCGTATCTCTGTCTCTATCTGACTCGACCTTTTTTTACTCTCTCTTGTGAGGCTCCCAACTTAGCGCAATACTAAATCAAAACCCTTTAAAAATTTACCAATCTTGTCTTGACAAAAACAAACTGCACGACATACCCACACTGAGGTTGAGGTGAGGTGAGTAAGATTAAGTTGTAAGGTTGTAAGTATTGAAAATGTCACTGTGGCCGTGAACAAAATTTTCTTACTTCTGGAACGGAGCCCAGAAGTTCCGGTTTTACTCCGGCTCTCTATAAACATTGTAGCAATACTGTTGACTGACTAAGTGGTTAGATTCACAAAGATATGTATGTGCACTGGTAAATAAATATATATATACAAGCTTTTTTAATCAGGTAGTCTCAGTGAGAAACAGGGCAGATGGTTACAACAGACATAACCAGGCCAACAAAAGCACATAGCATATGAAGAACATACAGACATAACAACCACATACTGTACAGCATCAGAGACAATCACAATCACAAACATCACTAAATAGGGCAATTAGAGAGAAGAGAGGTAATATACTGGGAGGTTTCACAGGAAAATAAATCTGTACTTCTCAGTCATCAGTGCTAGTATAGGAACCATTTAGTGTAGGGTGAGAATAGTGTGAAAAGTGCAAATTGATTCAGATGTGATTGAAGGCACAAACCTTTATCCTTTTTGGTTTCAAACATAGGGGACTCAGAAGGTGGAGAAAGACCCATATCGTTTTTAGCAAATACCCTGAAGTTATACTCCCGTCCAGGCAAAATGTTGACAACTGTGAACTTATTGTTAAAGAGGTTGTCGGCCACTGTTCTCCAAGTGCGTTTGAAGGAGTCCCGCTTGGATACCAAGTAGTGTAGTCTGTCATCCCTCTTCTCGTCTGGAGAAGAAGTCCAGGACAGAGTCACTGTTCCTGGGATGTTCTGATCCAGCTCCACTGGACCTGGAGGCTTGGGGTCATCTACAACCAGATTTATACAGATTACTGATATTACAGGCTTAGTTTGCTGGGTATGTCTTTAACATTTTGGTTGGAACAATGATGTCTGTATTAGCTCTATCAACCAGTTGCCAAAAATAGTTACTCTTCTAATATAACCACAGAAAAATGCATTTTGCGGCATTGTTGATAAAAGCAAAAACATTGTGTAGGTTAGAGAAGAACGTACTAAACCAAAAAGTGGCACAGATTATCTTTAAGCAATGATAGTAGACTGAAAGCCGCAGCCAACTGCACAAGTTGGTGTAGCAGAGTGAAAGAAAGAGCTGGAAATGTTCAGCTGGGGATTTAAAAAAGCCTGAGAACAATGGAGTGCTGAGTATATCCAGAATATATGAATATACAATTTGAATTTGGTTTAGTAAGTTCTGTTTCAAGCATAAAACAGAGGATATCTAATGGGTGATGGGGAGGTCTCACAGTTTTTACAGCTCACAGACTTGTATGCTCAACCATACCAGTCAACATATCACCAAGGTTTGTTTGAAATATAAAAGTACAAGATAAAGATTCAATATTATGTGGGAACGATCATTTTTGCATTACAAATTGAATTTTCACAAAAAAACAATCATGTTGTGATGTGAATTTTTTGCCGGTCTGTACCAAACCAACATGTTTTCTTAAATCTGGAGAACAACATTTGTAGACCAGGGCACCTCTACTGCACTACAGTACTTCATTATAATGCTGTTTTGTCACACATTTTACCTTTATCAAGCAGCTCTTGCGATTTGTATATTTCATATGGCCATATTGCGATTTCAATAATATTTCGATTCATTGTGCAGCCCTACTTGTCATATACTGTATCCAGCTCAGTTTCTATTTGCCAAATGTTTATATAGTTTACAGTTTGATTAACTGGGTCTAGTGTTTAGTGTGCTGAATAGCTGGGAGCAGCTAATGAGGCCAGCAAAGAGAATGCATTCAGTCTCTGTAACTGAACTATGAGTTATATGTTTTTATATACCAGGCCATGAACAGTAGTAGTTCAGGGCCGTGTGCACAGAGATTTACCTGTAACCCTGATTTCAATATTGAAGCTCTCCTGGCCGACAATGTTCTTGACAGTAATGGTGTAGATCCCAGTGTCAGAGCGTTCAGATGTAGGGATTAACAGTTGAGAACCTTTATCAGAGTTGGTAATTGTTACATGTTTGGGCACCAGAACACCATCTTTTAGCCAAGAGATTTCTGGCAGAGGGCAGGCCTGTAGGCGATAAAAAAAAATATCAGATTAGTTTGTTGACTGAAGAGCTTGAAGGCTCACACAATAAAAATACTTTCTCCAATGGACCCCATTAGTAAGAAAACGTCAGGCACAGTACCTCAAAGTTGATGTTCAGACGGACCGTGTTTCCAGATTTTACCACCACAAAGGTCTTCATGTTGCGATCTTTAAACTTTGGCTTTACTGTGAGGGTGAAATGTAGAATAAAATGTTCAGGTTCTTACAATTTAGCAAACTGTCATTCCTCTTAAAATCATATTTTCATTCTTTGCATTTTTGAATTATAAATACTATCTAATCTATTATATATTATTATATATATAATCTAATGATAATATCTATTGTATAGATTATTAAGAAATGTAAAGCCTTTGTCTGAGTTCTTGTTAAAATTTCTATTCCTGTGGACATGGATAGTAATGTTTTAAGGAAATATTCAGTATTCAGGTGAAGACATTGATCACTCCAGTATCTTTATGAATCCAGATGCATTTCAGATTCTTTGTTTGTTTTAATCCATAGTTCTCTGGGTACGCCAGCTTTTCAAAATCCCATTGTGTATGCAGTGATGTATTATGGAAAAAAAACTAAATATTTGCTTTGACTTCATGTGAATACTGAATATAACATTTAATTAATCATTAAACTTTACAAAACTGATGTTCTTGATATGAATTTCAAATGTTCTCACCAGGAGGAGGCATGGCAATGATGTAATTGTCAAAGCCCTGAGGTTCTCCATCACCTCCATAATTGGTGGCAATTACTCTCACCCAGTATGTGGCCATTGCCTTTAAGCCAAGCACGGTGTAGGAAGTTAAAGTAATTGGGATGGCATTACAGCGGGTCCATTCAAGGCTTTCTATTGGTCTGATCTCCACATAGTACCCCAGGGCTTCATCCTCTATCCCCTTCATTTCTTTAGGTTTAGTCCAAGCCAGTGAAAATGTGGTGTAATTGGAGGATGTTAACTTCAGGCCTGTGACTTTGCCTGGGGGTTCTGAAATTACAATAATGAGAGGTTATTGGCTGAGCATTGCTGTGCTTTTATATTACACATATAACTATATACAGCATTATATTTAATACATTAACTTGCAGGATTACATAATCTTCAGTGATGACAACTAGGAGAATATAAGAATTCAGTGTTACTGGCTTACTCATTGGATCTCTTGCGATTACTGTGTCACATGGAATACTAGGATCTCCAGCACCAGATAGGTTGATTGCAGACACCCTGAATTCATATGCTGCCCCTTCAAAAACATCTTTCACTGCATACTTTGTATCTGTGGAAAAGGGAAGAAATGGTTATCATATCATTATAAATGTTCACAGCACTGTAGCCAATCATGATATATTCCTGCAGCTTGTTTTATGAGTTGGATACCTGCAATAGGCCCTCCTTGGTTAACAAGGCTCCAGTAATTAGTGCCTTTCTTGTTCTTTTCCAAGTTGTATCCCACTATTTTGGTTCCTCCAGTATCACATGGAGGAGCCCATGTCAAATTGATGCAGTCTTTAAATGCACTGACTACTTTAGGTGCTGTTGGGGGTCCAGGATAACCTGTGGGGGAAACATTAGACATTCTGTCTATTCTTTGATATTGTTTTACTGTTCTTTTATTACTTCTTCTATGAGTTCATACACGTCCGCAACTATGAAGATATTTTTAATCATTTGTTTAATTGTTTCACCCTATAGTTATTTTATCATAAGTTTTCATTAAACAGCAGCAAATTGTACCACAAAGCTTAAATTAGGCTAAGCTAAAGACTTACGTAATACACCAGCTGATATGTCCTCTGTCTGCAGGTAATCACTAATGCCTTCAGCATTCTTGGCTCTGATCCGGTAGCAGTATCTCCTTCCAGGGTCCACATCTGAATCTTTGTAACTCGGGTTGTTGCCAGGGATCTCACCGAGATTTGACCATTTATTGCGGCCTACTTGTTGGCGTTCCACAATGTAATTTGTGACCGGGCATCCACCACTATCTTTTGGTGGTTTCCATTTGAACTCAACAGATGTTACAGCACTTTCCATAATGTCCACAGGTCCTTGTGGCGGTGTGGGTTTGTCTGTTGACGAAATTAAAATAAATAAACTTACAGAGAAATGCATTCATCTCCTTACAGTACAATGTGTCTCTCTCTCTATTGTCAACTCACCCAGTACAATAAGTTTGGAAATTGCCTCTGTAGTACCAAATTCATTTTTTATTTTGATTTTGACCTCTCCACTATCTTTCCTTTGGCACTTAGTAAGCCGTAGTCTGCTTTCAGTAGCTGATGTTTCAATCTTCACATTGAGGCCGGGCAAAAGCTCGTCATCATCCTTGTACCACTGTATATTCATTGGTGCCCCACCTGAGAAAGGCAGCTTCCATTCAGCATTTTCACCTGCCTTTATAATGACTGGCTTTGTGAATTTTCCTAGTGCGTCAGCATCGATTTTTGGTGGGTCTTCAAGGTTGGAGAAAAAAACAGTCAAAAACCTAAACCCTTTGCAACCATGGGAAAATTCATCAGTTGACAAAAAAACATTTTATTCATTTTTATTCTGACCTTGAATATTAAGAGTTGCTTCTGATTTACGGCCTTCAGCTTCAAAGCGGTACACAGCTCCATCATCTTTTTTACAGCAATCAATTATCAACCTGTGACAGGCTCCATCTTTGATAATTGTTACCCCGTCCTCACTGGTTAACTTGTCAGATAAAAAGATTCAATATTCATAGTGCAAATATTTTGATAGATTGTACTATATATTATTTTTGACTAAACTGGGCCTTTGTGGTTTTATAAGCTAGGAAACTGTGATGCATGGCGGTAGTCCTATATACTTGTAATTCTCCTGGAATAGTTGACTTACCAGCTTCCCATTTTTATACCAACATCCCACAGAGGTCTCACTGCTTAGTTTGCAAGACAGCTCTGCCCGTTCACCAACATTAGCAAGAGTATCTGACAGCCCACTTACAAACTGAACACCACGATCTGCAACAGTAAGAACAAAGTGAAAAATTATAAATAATCAAAATGACTGCATTGTATTTAGTTCTTAGTTGTAGAAATTATACCTTGTTGCAGTTAGTATGCAGTGAAAAGTAGCATAAAAAACTAGTATATTATTTGCTAAAGTGAAGATAGGTGCAATGGGAATTTCAGTTAGACCCTACAAACTTCACAGAAATCTTTAAATGACAGCAATACCAAAAAGATGAGTATGTTGTGTGTCTCCAACCAGTTATTGTACCATTTTGGTGTTCAATTCCATATAAATAAATAGTGCAAAGCAAACAAAGGTGCAGAAAGCAGATGAGCATGCGGTTTTCCATTTTTAGGCATAAGCAGACCAAGGATATCATTGACATCTCTGTGGCTGCTACCATAGTTTGTTTTCCTGTTTACAATATGTCTCTCTCTAGTGGTCAAGATGCAGAACTGCATGGGCTCTTTCATGAAGTATATCATTAAACTCCTTTTATAATCATTCAGTTGGCCAGTTTTTGCCCTAAATATAAATAATCATTTTACAAAGACCATACAAGTCTTTATGAATTATTATTTTATTTATTTTATTATTAATGAAAAATTAGTCTGAAATTATTTTGATTCAAATCCATAATTTAAATGCTCATGTTTGACTACTGGTTTCTGATGTTTGGCCCAAAATCGTCAGACTTATTTTAAGCATAGAAATGTAACCACTTTTTAGTCATCAGGATTTAAGAGGTTTCTTAGAATCCTAGAATTTTTCATCAGGTGGCTATTTGTAACCGACTTTGTACACAGATCTGACCTGTGCTGACTCCACAAAGAACAGTGGAGTGCATACTTTACTTTTTTTTTCCTGTACTCACTTTGTTTTCTGGAGTAGAAAACTTCCTAGTGTAACTGTGTCTCATATTTTACTGTAGGTACGGACCAATTTTATTTCTAGTGCAATAGCTAGGAGTAAATCTGAGACACCTGGCAAATATGGGCCCAGATAGCAAGGCTGCCTATATACATTATGCAGTAGCAGAGGCACATTATGAGAACTGGAACTAAAACTGTGCCATTACTGTATGTCATTGTCTGTGCAATGCAGTGACACATTATTCACTATTCAGACACGCAAGGATTTTACCAGTAACAGTGTCAGGAACCAAAGGGCCAGTTCGCTGTCGCTTCTTTTTCTTATCATCTGCATCATTTCCGTCATCTCCATCTGTCAGGAGGTTCTTATTCTTGCCATCTCCATCATCGTCATCTCCATCAGTCTTGCGACCAGACCCATCACCAGACCCATCACCAGACCCATCACCAGACCCATCACCAGAACCATTACCAGAACCATCACCAGAACCATCTCTTCCATCTCCTCCATCCCCTGCACCTGCTGCGTCCTTTTCAGCCTGTGCTCGTCTAGCTGCGTCCATGTCGTCTTTCTGTTTTTGAAGCTTGGCCTGCTGTTCCAAAGCTAGTTTGATCAGGTCATCTTGATCCCCAGACTGGGTGCCTCTACGGCCTTTACCACCATTTGGATCAACTGGATTACAGTGAACACATACACGTAGGGAGAATAAATCAAGGAGTGTTTTTTATCACACTAACAACAAACTGATATGTTTTTATTAGTGTATCAATATGAAAAGAAATGAAAAGATTTCCCACCTTCCACTGTGAGAGAGGCACTGCTGGAAGCTATGCCAGCAATGGCATAATATGCTCCTTTATCTACCATTTCACAGCCTTTAACTCTCAATGTGTGAATTAGTTTGTCCTCTGAGACAGTGATCTCATATTTGTCCCCATGTTCAAGTGATGAGTCCTGTTTTGACCAGGTAATTCGGTTGAGGGGTGTTGACAACACACACTGAAAGGTGGCATCCTCATTTTCAAAAGCCTTCACATCTTTAATCTTGGCTATGAACTCCACAGCAGGCACTGAGAGATGAGGAAGGGTGGATGTGGATTAACTGGTGGATTAACTGAGTGACTTTACATTCCTAAATGCGCCTTGAATTCTCTCCCTAACAAATGCAATTGTTACACCTTACCTTGAAAGTCAGTTGTAAGGACATTTGCATCTTCAACATCAACCTGGTAAAATCCAGCATCTTCTGGCTGAGGATCTTTGATGCTGAAAACATACTTTGTCCCTGTTTTCTTAAGGCTATGCTTTGAATTTTCATCGTCACTATATGGAACCATTTTCCCATCCTTGTTAGAGAAACGCAGTGAGATTAGTCTTTTTCTGATTTCTCATTTAAACAGTGATTGCTTTGAAATTGTTAATGTTGAATACACATTAACTCACCTTGAATAGGTTAATTGCACTGTTGGGATCCCACATTGCCATGTCCATGCTAAATTCAGCTCTCCCACTGGGTGTTACTTCTATTTGTTTCACATTGTCCAGTTTCTCTACAACCTACAAAAGAAAGATAAAAAGTAATTTGTATTTATTTGTAGTTTTCTCTGAAAGAAAAGAACTTTACTGCTGAAAATATGACATATTGAACCAAGTGTCCTTGGACAGAGCATGGATGTTTACTTGTTAAGATGCACTAGGTCAGTTTAGCCTCAGGCAAAACTAGCCTCCATATATAAGAAGGAAAACTTGTAATAACAATAAAAAAAAATAATGAGACATGCTTTTTGAGAGTAATTTAACATTTCAAGAAAGGAGTGAAACACAACTTTACATACTGGTGTTGAGTCACTCTTTAAAGTCAGCCAAAAACAAGCAAGCTCTTGCAGATATTTGTGCCACCAAGTTTTCTGTTACAGCTTTAAAATGCTTTAAGGTCAGTTTTCAAAATTTTTACGTTCAAAATACATGATGCACTATTCCAGAAATGTGCAGTTGTTACAAACTGCATACAGCACAGTACCTTTGCCTGCTCATCTTGCCTTTCCTTTTTCATCTGGCTGAGTCTCTTCAGCATCCAGCGGAAGTCAGTAACACCAAAGTCAAAACAAATTTTTTCATAGTCCTTCTTTGGTGCACAAATAAGCAGTTCCCAGAGCTTAGGATCAATTTCTCCTTCTTTTTTTGGTGGGAGTTGTTTTTTTCTGGTGACAACAACACTGAAAAGAGTAAAAAAGTTAATTGTTTTGGGGGGGGGNNTATATATATATATTAATACATATATAGAAAAACTTTGACTATGACTGACTATGACTGGAGCTTACGTTTTCTTAAGCATTGATCTGAAATCCTGTGGAGCTTGTGCATTTGCTGAAAGAAAATTAGATGTAAATTGGAAGAAAATTCATGAGATACTTTTCCTTAATGCCACATAATTCTATTATTATATTAGTTTAAACTCTACGCATGGCTCTATCCAGACCTTAAACTGAAGAAACAAACAAACAAAACATGCTGGATCAAATTGATTTGTATCAATAATTCTTTGAAACCATCAGGTCTTGCTTGGAGGCTTTTAAATTACAGCACAGGTCTCAATATTTCATTACGATGTTTAACACACATTGTTGTTCCAAATTTGCCATAGTTCACATTAAAGAAACAAATCATAAATCTCTATAATCCTAAAAAATAAATGTATGGATCGATGGATGATACACTTAAGCTCCTGTGGTATATTTCATACCTTCCTGGCCTTTCTTCTTTAAGCCAACTGGAAAAAAGCATGAAAACAATAGCAAAACAACAAATGAATAGTCAAACCTACACTATGTTATACTATATATTTTATTATTTCACAACATATTGCATGGTATTAATCAATCTTTTACCTCCAATAACATTGAGAGTTGCAGTGCAGACAGCCTGTCCATACTCATTGGTGGCAAAGCATTTGTAGGTGTCAGCTTGATCTGGTTTTACGCCGTGTACCTGATGAAGCAATATTGTAATAGTTAGATTGGATCTTTAGTGCTGAATATTATGTCTCCCATTGATGTGAAGAATGAGCTTTTCTAACTGAGTTCTTGGAAATACTTCAAGAACAAATCAAAGTACGTATGTAGCTCATACTTCTTTTATTATAATTAAAATATACATTTAACATTTAATACAGATCAGGAAGTTAAATGGTTTGTGATCTATTGCTATTATCTGCTTTACAAGAAATTAGGGATTTTATTTTCATAACACTGTTTTCTCACCTCAAGAATGTGCTCCTGAGCTCTTTCCTCAAATCTTGTTTTGTACTTTTCTGGGTCATCAACCTGGCCCTTATTACGCCCCCATGTCACAGTTGGTAGTGGCTCTCCACTAACCATAGCTTTGAAAAAAGCTTTTTTACCTGGAAAATGAAAATAAACAGCGATACAGTTTGTAGATAGTGTTCGATAGTGTTATTGTAATCACAGTTTTACGTTGTGTGTTTATTTACCCTCTTGAACAGTCGTAGCCATTGGCTTCCGGGTAAAGTCAGGTGTTGACTTTCCTGCTGGGAGTTGCTCCACATACTGAGTAATCATAACCCCAGGAACTCTGGACCTTTTCTTGATAGCCACTGTTAATCCAGGAAATAATAGTACAACTTAACACAATCACAGACAAAAAAAAACAGAAAACACAATTGTTACAAATGCTGTGTGTGTCTGGGATTGGGAGCTAAGCTGCATACATTTTCTTGCCAGATATCGTAAAAAATATCACAACATTTAATCATCCAGTTTTGAAGCATTCAAAACATTAATAGTTTCTTTAACATCCATTATATCTGAGATTTATTAACACCTTCACCAGGGTGTTTTCTTTTGGTTTCAGTTACGCAATTATTCCACAAGAGGTCAGTATTTCCTTTCTCTTTGTCAACCATGACAGCTGCTACAAGATGGCAAGACAAGCATAAACCCCCCTAAAAACCAATTAAATTAATGAATAGATTTGAATAAAAATTGTAATGAATTTGAAGTACAAATAAGCAGATTTAGTTTTTCTATTATATAAATAATTATTTTAGTCACACCTTGCAATTCATGGTTACAAAGGGTGCTTCTCTGAGGCTTATTGAGGAAGACTGTTTAAGGCGCCACAATGTTAAAAAGCACTATCACACTTTTTTTTTGTGCCTTTTTCCTCTCTAGGAGCTCGGCTGTAGGATGACTCCGTATGCACCGCAAAGTTCATCCAACAGCTGGTGAAATCACAAACTCCAACTGTTACCCTACTCCTTTTTCAGCATCATACCTCGTAATGACTCACAGCCGCTTCATTCACCCTAGGGCTTGAACTTTTACTGCTGCATAGTATAGATAGGGCCAAATGGCTAATCACGTGCAACTGTGTGCAGAATCAAATGTGTCCCACAATTATTGTAGTAAAATCCGATCTTAAGCCATATGGAACTATTGTAGTCTTGGGATCCATTAAATTGTGCCAGAGTTAACTATGCAGATACCATACCAAAACTTAAATCACATTCAGCCTCAAAGATTCAGTTTTAATATGCAACATATTTCATTTTTGTTCAGTTTGGAATGTGATAACGGCATTTCAGTGAAGTAATTCTGCTTTTTGTGTCTTTATCCTGCAGTTGAGCAGTTGAGGGATTTAACACCTTTTGAGTCCAGTCTGTGTATCCATTATCAATTTTCAAATCTAAATATTGTACTAGTAATATCACCAACTTGTTTGATGTCCTAGAGTAAACACACATTTTGCAAGGTGAAATATATTCAGCTAGCAAACCTCTACTCCCCCATGTTTTACCTTTACCTCACTGTCATGTACTGTAAATGCACAAAATCACATGGAAACACATGGAAAAAGGCCGGTGATAATGCTTACAAAACTATCAATGGCATAACATGAATTAAATTACTAATACAATAAAAGAATTCAGCTATAAAATTAATTTCAAAGTGAAACCGGATCCTCTCTGAGATAAATAATTTCCACTGACAGTGGTGTAAACTCAAGAGTAGGCTGTTATATCACTACTTCAAATGTGAGTTACTTTTAGATTACCAATTCTTCATCACTTTCCCACAGCAGCCCTATTCCAGTTAGAGGGCATATATTGAATATTCATCAAACCGTCATCTCTCAAGGGGTTGGTTTACGCTCTTATATCAACTGAACGCAGACAGGGTTCTTGTAACCTTGTTCCTCAAGCATTGATTCACACATAATCCAAGTCTGGTAGGACACAGTCAGTCGTTTGCTTCTGCATACCAATCACTCCCAGAAGAACTGTTAGTTTTGGACACCAGTACACTTCAGGATACCTTCACTAAGAATTTGTTGGCTGTATAAAGCTGATATCCCTTTTATAAAGCACTCTGAGCCACCAACACTAGGCCTGTTGAAGGGGGGTGAATGGTTTCAGACTTTCTTGGAGGTTGAAAAAAATGAAATTGGTACACTTCTTGTCCTCAATTTCAAGTAAAAAAGAAAGAAGTGGTATTTCAGACGTCAAATGAAGTTGAAATGTTTTGAAGGGGTTTTCTTAAGCAAGGTAGTTGCTTAGTTTCTTCTTTTTTTCTTCCATTTTTCTTCTGCAATCTGCAATCTGCAAATATTTTATCCACCTTTGGGTGTACTTTTTGTTGGTAGATATAAATAAAAAAAAATGTTAAAGCATTTAAGACTTTTGAAAATCAAAGAAAATTCATATATGTGTGTGGGTGTGTGTATATGTGTATATGTGTACATATGTATATACATTTGTCAAAGGTTTTGTCTGATTTATGCAACTGCTGGTAAGGTTTATTTTAAATTTGTGTAAATTGCAGTTAATACAACATGGTAATTTATCAGCAACCACTCCATATTTCCATGTATGACAAACAAAACACACACACAGAAAGTCATATTTTCCAAACTTACCTAAGGCTTTTGGGTCTTGGTTTGTTCCTGAACTCATTGCAGCGTTGTCAATTGTTTGTCAACTCAGACTTTTGCGCCTGAAACAAAGAAAAGCAGCCACAGTTGTGTGCAGTTTCTTAGGATTCATAATGTTCTTCACTATTCACAACCAAGCATATATGTTCGTTGTTTAGATTTGTTCATGGTTTACAAATCTAGCATTGAACAGTAAGGGGGAAAAACTCCAGATTTGTGAGGTTTACACAATACAGTCCAGAAGTTATAGTGTAAATTTGTCAACCACATACTCTCAAATGATAGGTCTTTCATATAATGTTTGTAACTTCCTTTACTTATGTTGTTTTACATGGTCAACCACATAATTGGAGGGCAGTATGGGAAAACCAACTAGATTTTGTTAATTTGCAGTTATTGGTACATGCAGTATATTTAAACCATCACTAACCCAAATGTCCATGTACAAAAACATTTTTTAAACGTTAAAGACAATTGATGAAGGAATCATGTAATCTTTTAGCGAATATATTTGGCGATTTTTATATCACCCTACAGGAGCAGTGTTTCTAAACATTTAGGTCATAACCCTCAAGGATCTTTTATGATTAGATTAGATTAGATTTTATGATTACTGTAAAGCAATTTAAGGAAAACAGGAAGACAGAAAACTACACAAAATAATGAGATAACACAGAAAAACTAAATAAAATAAAACAATAAAAACAATAATGGGCATAATTTATAAAAAAAATAATTAATTGAATTGGAGTTTTTTGTATTAATCTGCATAATATTTATATAATATATAGTTAACCTATTAATTGTTCAGTTCACAAAATGCCAGAAAATGGCAAAAATGCCCATCAAAATTTCCCAAAACTCAACCCTGTAACTAACTATAACTAGCCCTAATATAGTTATTTTCAGATAATTCATTTTGAGCTCCCTCCACCGTCTCAAGTACACACAAAGTCATATGACTCAACTTCATGGCTCCGTTCTGTAACTGCTTGGGTCATGAGAAACTGGGAGACCTACACATGGGGTCGTCGGGCAAAAAAGGTTGAGAAACTCAACCTTGGAGGTTCTCCTCATGTATCATCTATGTTACCATATGACATCAGCCTGTCAAAGTGGGGATGCCTTGAGTCCTGCGTGACTCGTGCAGACATTTGGAGACATGCTGGGACACTGTAAAAGGGGAATGTGAAATCCCACCTAGAGGCTGACTCTGCCCAACTGCCTGTGGAGTCAAGTGACTGTGCCAGTAATTTAACTGCTCAGGATCCAAACATAGACAAGAGCAGAATGTCTTCGAATCAAACTGTTAAGCTGATGCACATATCTGTAAATCTTCTTTATGCCACTAACTCTTAAGAATTATGTTTTGAACCGTGATTCTTGTTAGGTGTCTAGTTGTTAACTACCAGCAAAAGACGGAAAGTAAACTTTAATCTCAAACTACCTATCCTGAGCAATTGTGTAGATTTGTTTTGTGTTGGAAGATGAAAAAGCACCTATACTTGATTTACTCATTTGAAAAACACAACCTCCCCAAAGAGTGATTAGGCAGTAAACAGGAGATGACTGTGACCTACTTTGAATGTGGCTCACAAGACCTTTAAGTCCAGTACAAGTAGATGGTAATGACCAAAGTGTTAGTGTAGGGTATTTTTAATCTTTAAAGTAAAGTAAAGTCGGTTGAGTAATTTTTTTTGGTATTTTCAGTTCTGAGGGGATTTTAATTAGAACAAAAAGGGCTGTATATCAAGATCATGGCCATACTGCTTCTTTACACGGCCCTTTAACTTTAGGGACCATAAGAGGAACCCCGAAAAATGTGAAAAAGCATATCTGACCTTGAACACCTACAACGCAGCAGAAAAAGGTATTATAATAGCTTTGATGTGTCACACAGTGCAAACTGATTGTAGTCTCATGCTCAATCCTTTGTTCGTCATGGGAAGTCAGTTGGGAAGGTCACATTTCCTCAAATATATGGCCACACAGTTTTGAGAACTTCAGCAGCAGTGTTACAAAATGATCTCAAGATGTCCACTTATTTTTTTCAATTTTAACATCACAATTCTTAAGACTTTACTGCATTAACATTAATATGAAAAAGAAAGAAGTAAAGTTTTATGGTTAAGATATTATTATAGACAGTGCTCCTGTTTGTGTGGTGTTTGTTACGGGCCAGGTTAGTGAGGCTATGCTAACAAGCTAGGCACTAACATTTTTACACAGCTATATAAAATAGCAGCATGTCCGCAGGTCATAAAATGTTAAAAAGAAAAATAGTCTGTTAAAAAAGTATGTTTTTCTTTCCTTTTTGTCAAGGTCTGTAGGTTTCTGCATTGAATCAAATGCTTTGATGGCCTATAAACCCAACCTAATTTTTATCTGTGGTAAACAAAGCCTAGTACTTATCTTTTTAAGATGAGTGGAAAAAGTGGGTAGCTTTATAAATGTAATCACCTATAGTGCTGTTTGTCTTAAAATAAGTCAAACATTTATGGATCTGAAAAATGTATTGGAGTTAGTCTGTACTGTTCCTCAGTCCTGAAGCCTTTCCGTTGTCCCATAATAAAACAATCGTACAGTTGCCTCTATACCACTTGACTGAAACCATCCCACATGACGGTTTTGATCTCACCATATGAAATGTTGTTGCTTTTGGTCAGTAGATTAATTTCGGTGAAGATTACTGACACGAGAAAATTCCCATAAAAACAAAAATCAGACTTACTCTTAAGTTTTCCACGACTACGTTCAGCTATCCGTCCTCAGCTCGTTCTCTATCTTCTCACTATCCGATATTTCAAACGTGACACCCCTTTTTGTTCGGTGATAAAAGTTTGGAGCGCAAGGAAACCCATACATGGATGAAATGTAGTTGCTAAAAACCCATATTACAGCTGTGGTAAAGGGTGGAGGTTCCTCTTACCCATCCCTATGAAAGCGATCACTTTGCAGCTGGCACTGGAAATACATTATGACTGTTCATTCAATATGGTATTGGACATATCCAGTCAACAGTTTTCCACCATTACTGTTGACAATATAAAAACAGCAGGCACATTCTATATTAATATCAAGATTCACACTCTCATATTTAAACTCTGACGAATTTGAGCATATTTCATTATATTTTATTAACAATTGATATTACTGTACTATATTTTGATGGCTGAGACTTTATGATTAATGGATCTACAATAGCCCTGTACAGTAAGAGTCAAAGCATCTAACCCAAAGCTTTTCGACTGGCAGATTCACAAGGTCTCCAGTAATATGATCACTGTACTATGGACTTTATTGGCCAATAAACATTAACATGAGACATTTTATTTGGTAAAATAATCTCTGGTTAAAATGAATTAACCTCCATAAGTATCAACGGAAATTCTCACAGCATGTCTGTGGTATTCTATGAGTCACCCTGGCTGGTGTGGTGGCATAAAAAGATGGTTGCTCATTGTGTGGTGATGTGTTGGACTCATTGCACTGAGCATGTTTTGGGTTCACTTTGTCAGAGGTTAAACAAGTGTGACTTATCCAGACAGTTTTAATAGTCACCCCGAACTCATAAAAGAGTGTGACATAACTGCAAGAAAAGCCTGAAGACACGAATGGAGAGTAAACACAAATATCACCTCTGATCTGGTAGAGGAAATTAGGTAAGCACTCTTGCATAAAGCAAGTACATTAACGACTGCGCTAAATATTATGGGAAAAGCAATGCTGCATTATTACACTCTTATCAGTGAGTATAATGCAATCAGATAAAATTGGTCTCTTGGCAGTAAGTGTTTAGTCAACAGGTTATATTCAGCAGAGATGAATGTGTTACAGATGTCAGAGTAGAGTACGGACTTGATTTGTGTTCAGTAAAATATAATATGTAATGTGAGTTTTTCTTTCAGATCTATACATATGAGTAGTTAAATATAGTTTTCTTACTGAAAGCTCTTCCTTTAATGGTTATTTGACTGTAGATATAAGAAGGACTAATTTAAGTTTTGTAGCCGAGGATCTTCTTTACTAGTTTACTGAGCAGCTCAGTTGAGCAATGAAAATGTGCACTTGGCTTAATGTAGTACTGCACTGTACATGGTGTCGTGAGCTTAGATGTTGGAGCTGTGTGCTACTGGAAATGCGCTGAAAACACCTATTGCTTTAACGATGGCCACTTATTCGAGTCGGAGGTTAGTGAAGAAAATGTTTTATAGTTATAGATAAGGCAAAATTCCTTGACAAAACAACACCATAAAGAACCTTACACCAGTTGTCAGTTGTTGTCACCAGTTGATTTTATTGCAGTTGTTTGTCAGAAATTGTCAAAATTTGTCAGATGTCTTTGTGCTATAGTTTGTCACTTCACTCGTGCTGCATAGTTATTATTTCTGATGACAGGGTAACAATTGTAAATCAATTTCAAATAAATTAAATAAGTTAGTATTAAGATCACTTTAGATGGTTTTTACCAGCACTTTACATAACAGTATTGTATGCTGTCAATGGAGTTTATGCTGTAAAACAAAACATTCCACTTCCTTTTTTTCCAGAATATCTCAGTAAAAGGAAAAGCTGCATGGCCTTCATGTTATTTTAATCTGTTAGGAAAAAGCACAAAGGAAAGAAAATTATTATAAGAATCAACCAAAATTCCCCCAAAAAATCCAACTGTTACAGTAAGTTTATCTTACCTTTAACAATAAGGTTAGTCGAACACTCTGCCTTGCCAAGAGAGTTGACTGCAACAACTTTATAATTGCCGCTGTCCTGTTGTCGGACTCTGAGAATGAACATTGAGCACACACCAAATGAGTTGGTGATATAATAGTTGTTGTCTAAGTTGATGCAGACGTCGTTCAGGTACCAGGATACAGTGGGTGTAGGGCATCCTCGGATGGCACATGTCATATAGAGTTGGTAACCTTTAGGTGGCGTGTGGACTTTAAGAGGGACCAAGATGGACGGAGGCCTCTCAAAGCTGACATTCGTTGAATTAACTCCATTTGAGCTTATCGGAACTTGAAGGGAGAAATCAAAGAGGGGAAGGATTTAAATAATATTTTAGGTCACATGATAATCATACCGTCAAGGCTCGAAAATGGTTCAGACATTTTATGTTTATAAAGCGTCAGTTTAAACTCTGCTAACATGCTTATATTTAGCTG